AAGGCTGGGCACGGTGGCTCACACCTGTAATCCCAGCACTTTGGGAGGCCAGGCCAGGCAGATCACCTGAGGTCAGGAGTTCAAGACCAGCCTGGCCAACATGGTGCAACCCCATCTTTACTATGACATCAGTTAGGAAATACTTTTTTTTTTTTTTTTTGAGACAGAGTCTTGCTCTGTCGCCCAGGCTGGAGTGCAGTGGCATGATCTCGGCTCACTGTAAGCTCCGCCTCCCGGGTTCCTGCCATTCTCTTGCCTCAGCCTCCCGAGTAGCTGGGACTACAGGTGCCTGCCACCACGCCCGGCTAATTTTTTGTATTTTCAGTAGAGACAGGATTTCACCGTGTTAGCCAGGATGGTCTCAATCTCCTGACCTCGTGATCTGCCCACCTTGGCCTCCCAAAGTGCTGGGATTACAGGAGTGAGCCACTGTGCCTGGCCTAGGAAATACTTTTAAAAACTGCTGTTGCTTACTAAATCTAAGAAACTCTTGTGGCCGGGCGCGGTGGCTCAAGCCTGTAATCCCAGCACTTTGGGAGGCCGAGACGGGCGGATCACGAGGTCGGGAGATCGAGACCATCCTGGCTAACACGGTGAAACCCCGTCTCTACTAAAAATACAAAAAAACTAGCCGGGCGAGGTGGCGGGCACCTGTAGTCCCAGCTACTCGGGAGGCTGAGGCAGGAGAATGGCATAAACCTGGGAGACGGAGCTTGCAGTGAGCTGAGATCCGGCCACTGTACTCTAGCCTGGGTGACAGAGTGAGACTCCGTCTCAAAAAAAAAAAAAAAAAAAAAAAAAAAAAAAAACTCTTAAAATGCCATTATAATTCAATTCTTTAAACTTTTATTTTGAAATAATTTCACGGCTGGGCATGGTGGCATGGTGGCTCACACCTGTAATCCCAGCACTTTGGGAGGACAAACTGGGTGGATCACCTGAGGTCAGGAGTTCAAGCCCAGCCTGGCCAACATGGTACAACCCCGTCTCTACTAAAAAAAAAAAAAATTAGCTATGCCTGGTGGTGGGCACCTGTCATCCCAGCTACTGGGGAGGCTGAGGTAGGAGAATCGCTTGAATCCGGGAGGTGGAGGTTGCAGTGAGCTGAGATCGTGCCACTGCATGGCAGCCTGGGTGACAGAGCGAGACTCTGTCTCAAAAAAAATAAAAATAAAAAAGGAATAAAAGCAAACTTGATAAAATAATATCATTAAAGGAATGTCAGAGTGAAGGGTATATGGAAATTATACTGTTCTTGCAACTTTTATGTAAGTTTGAAATTATTTCTTTTTTTGTTGTTGTTGACATGGTGTCTTGCTCTGTTGCCCAGGCTGGGGTGCAGTGGCATGATCTTGGCTCACCACAACCTATGCCTCCTGGGTTGGTTTTATCTATGATGGATGCTGAAGGAGAATGGCACACGCATTCTCCAATCAAATAAAGCAAGCTATTTTAATTAGCGAGACTAGATATCTCCCAGGTTCCATGAGATTATGAGGCATACCCTCTAAGGGAATATTTGTAAGAATTTATGGGGCAGGACTGTAATTCCTCTTATTCCTCCACTCCACAGCCTGATACTTCGCTGTTTTCAAGAATGCCTTCTGATAACTTTTACACCTTCACCCTCCTTTCATAGGAGTTAATTATCTCTACCAACATGTAACAAGCATCTAGCGCCAAGCACCAGGCACTGCACTGAAGGATATGACCATTCCTTCTCTCAAGAAACTTATGACCAGTGGGCAGGCTATAGATGTAAACATGTTTGCTAAATAACTACAATTTTCTTTTTTGTGAGATGGAGTCTTGGTCTGTCGCCCAGACTTGAGGGCAAGGGCACGATCTCATGTCACTGCAATCTCCGCCTCCTGGGTTCAAGTGATTCAGCCTCCTGAGTAGCTGGGATTACAGGCACCCGCCACCATGCCCAGCTAATTTCTGTATTTTTAGTAGAGACAGAGTCTCACCATGTTGGTCAGGCTGGTCTCAAACTCCTGACCTCGTGATCCTCCTGCCTCGACATCCCAAAGTGTTGGGATTACAGGCGTGAGCCATCGCACCCAGCCAAATAACTACAGTTTTTACTGAAAGTATAGAATGCTTCATGGATTTGTGTGTCATTCTTGCACAGGGGCTATGATAATTAATCTTTTGCGTATCATTCCAATGTTCACATATGCGTGCTGAAGCAAACACTGAATTATTATTTTAGACTCTGGAGAAAACAAAGTTTACTGAATTAAATTGAGATTCACTATGATGGAAACTGACAGCAACAGGACACCACCATTATTTTCATTCTACTAAAATCCCCTTAAAATGAAACTATACACAGACTTCATCTACAGTTGAATATACCTTCAACTTGGTATTCAAATGCCAGGTTTAGAAAAATATTACTAGTACATAAACTTCAGGGGGAAACCATCTTAGTCAATAAGTAGATTATTTAATTATTGTTCGACTTATGATTTTTCAACTTTACATGGTATAAAGCTGTTACAATTTCAACATTCTTCAAATTTTGAATTTTGATTGACCTTTTCTTGTGTTACCAATGGTACACAAGACATTTAACACTTTATTTATGAGACAGTCTCACACCGTTGCCAGGCTGGAGTGCAGTGGCATTTCAGCTCACTGTAACCTCCACCTCCAAGGTTCAAGCAATTCTCCTGCCTCAGCCTCCTGAGTAGCTGAGATTATAGGCGTTCACCACCACGCTGAGCTATTTTTTTTTTTTTTTTGGTAGAGACAGGATTTTGGAATGTTGGCCAGACTGGTCTTGACCTCCTGACTTCAGGATCCACCTGCCTTGGCCTTCCAAAGTGTTGAGATTACAGGCGTGAGCCACCGCACCCAACCATAACACTTTTATAATAAAATAGGCTTTGTTTTTCATTATCTTACTCAACCATAGGCTGATTTAAGTATGCTCAGCTTTTTTAAGGTAGGCTTGGCTAAGCTATGTTTGGTAGGTGTATTAAAAACATTTTCAAGTTAGGATATTTAATACAGCATTCTACTGCTAACATTTTAATACTATTTAAATATTCAACTAGATCTTTTTTTTTTTGAGATGGCATCTCACTCTGTTGCCCAGCCTGGAGTGCAGTGGGGCGATCTCAGCTCACTGCAAGCTCCGCCTCCCAGGTTCATGCCATTCTCCTGCCTCAGCCTCCAGAATAGGTGGGACTACAGGTGCCCGCCACCATGCCCGGCTAATTTTTTTGTATTTTTAGTAGAGATGGGGTTTCACCGTGTTAGCCAGGATGGTCTCGATCTCCTTACCTCATGATCCGGCTGTCTCAGCCTTCCAGAGTACTGGGATTACAGGCTTGAGCCACTGTGCCCGGCCAGATCTATCATTTTCTATGGATACTTTATTAACGAATGTTGATTCTAAGTTATAAAAAAGGCCCAACTCATATGATTTAAAGGTTTCAGAAATTATTTATTGTAGTAGTACTGACACATAAGATTTTAGCCTATGGTCGTTTTATAAAGATGACTGTTAGGATTTAATCAATATTTAAAGAAAACGAGATTTGTTGTATTATGGTGTTTTTTATGACCTATCAAATATTTACTACTACAAATTTCCATGAACGTAGTGGTTAGTAAAGCTTTTTCCTTAATGAAAAATAATGCCAGATAACCAAGTATTATTCCTTCTATAATTTATTTAGGAAAAAGTTTTATGTATTAGGGTAAAGGGGTAGAAGTTAACCTAGAATCTAATAATCTCCAATCACCCATTCCTGATCTAATAGTAGCCATGAGAAAAAAACCTCTAGAAAGAATTATACCTCTCAAAAAATAAAAAATAAAAAATGAAACAAAGGCTATGTGCAGTGGCTCACACTTCTAATCCCAGCACTTCCAGAAGCTGAGGTGGGCAGATTGCTTGAGCCCAGGCAGATAGCTTGCAGCCTGGGCAACATGGTGAAATCTTGTCTCTACCAAAAAATACAAAAAGCAGCCAGGCATGATGACATACACCTGAGCCCAGGAGATTAAGGCTGCATTGAGCCATGATTGTACCAGTGTACTCTAGCCAGGGTGACAGAGTGAGATCCTGTCTCAAAAACAAACAAACAAACAAAAAAAGTGCTGTAAAAAAGAGAGGCTCTAGCCCTTTACCACTGAGGTGATATGCCCTGGCTATGCCTGTCATCAAATCCTTAAGCATATTGATGATGGCCATGAGAAACCATGCCCCAGACTGTATCTGTGCATACACAGAGTAAAAGCCCTGTTGCTATACTATAAAATGGCACTTGAAAATAATCTCTACAGTTATGTTTGAAAATTGGCGTACTTTTTTTTTTTTTTTTTTGAGACAGAGTCTTGCTCTGTCGCCCAGGCTGGAGTGCAGTGACCGGATCTCAGCTCACTGCAAGCTCCGCCTCCCGGTTTTACGCCATTCTCCTGCCTCAGCCTCCCAAGTAGCTGGGACTACAGGCACCCGCCACCTCGCCCAGCTAGTTTTTTGTATTTTTTTGGTAGAGATGGAGTTTCATCATGTTAGCCAGGCTGGTCTTGATCTCCTGACCTCGTGATCCGCCCGTCTTGGCCTCCCAAAGTGCTGGGATTACAGGCTTGAGCCACCGCGCCCGGCAGTATTTTTTTTTTTTTTGGAGACAGTGTCTCACTCTGTCGCTGAGGCTGTAGTGCAGTGGTGTGATCTTGGCTCACTGCAACCTCTGCCACCTGGGTTCAAGCGATTCTCCTGCCTCAGCCTCCTGAGTAGCTGGGATTACAGGCGTGTGCCACCATGCCCGGCTAATTTTTTGTATCTTTAATAGAGATGGGTTCCATCATCTTGGCTAGGCTGGTCTTGAACTCCTGACCTCGTGATCCACCCACCTCGGCCTCCCAAAGTGCTGGGATTAAAGGCGTGAACCACCGTGCCCGGCCGACATAGTATTTTTATTTATAATGTGGAAAAAAAAAAAAAAGAAAAAGAAAACAGATACTTCACTACAAATATTGAACCAAGTTAGAAATTTTTATGTAGCCAAACCACGACTTTAAGCTCTATTTACACTGATGGCGGCCAACTGAGATGCAGGCCACACCCGTGTGGCATGCAGCAAGCAGGACATGCAGGCAGCCTTCCTTGCTCACAAGGCTTTAGAGCAAGCGCACGGTCTTCCCAGTCACCGTCAGGAAGTCATCATCTGCCAGGGCACGCAGTGCTTCTTCAAACATATCTTTAGTGATTGCCTGTGGGGAAGAGAAAGAAAATAAATATTTTACATGTCAAGTCCCTCCTTTACCTGTTAGAGACACCATAATTTTAATGTTAAAGTACAACCCAGAATCTTTCTCTTTTTGGTGGCTGTACACATGCCTTATGCTCTAAATCAGCAGTGGAGTGGCCAGATGGTCCATATGGTAGACTTGGCATCTGTATAGTCCATGTTGTAACTATCAACTCTGCCCTCTCAGTGACAACATAGAGATGGAAAGTGGACCAGCACTGAAAGCCTGCATAGTTTTATTCACTAAACAACTCACCTTACTTACTTACAAAATAACACTCAAATATTTCATTCCTAAAACAAACTTATAACAACTATAAAAGGGGCAGAACAATTTTTTTTCTTTTGTTTTGAGATGGAGTTTTACTCTATTGCCCAGGCTGGAGTGCAGTGGCAGGATCTCAGCTTACTGCAACCTCTGCCTCCCGGGTTCAAGCAATCTTCCTGCCTCAGCCTCCTGAGTAGCTAGGATTTCAGGTGCTCATCACTGCACCCAGATAATTTTTGTATTTTTTTTTTTTTTTTTTTTTTTTTTTTTTTTTTTTGAGACGGAGTCTTGCTCTGTCACCCAGGCTGGAGTGCAGTGGCGCAATCTCGGCTCACTGCAAGCTCCGCCTCCCGGGTTCACGCCATTCTCCTGCCTCAGCCTCCCGAGTAGCTGGGACTACAGGCGCCCACAACCGCGCCCGGCTAATTTTTTTCTATTTTTAGTAGAGACGGGGTTTCACCGTGGTCTCGATCTCCTGACCTTGTGATCCGCCCGCCTCGGCCTCCCAAAGTGCTGGGATTACAGGCGTGAGCCACCGCGCCCGGCTAATTTTTGTATTTTTAATAGAGACAGGGTTTTACCATATTGGTCAGGCTGGTTTCAAACTCCTGGCCTCAAGTGATCCGCCTAAGTCCCAAATGAGATTACAGGCATGAGCTACTGCACTCAGCCAAAAATTTTAATTGTGATTATTTCTTGATGATGGCTTATGGTTCATCTTCCTTTTCTTCATTCTTATCTGTATTTATTATTTAATAAATAAAGGAAAAAAACCCAAAAGCAATATTAAGGAAAAAGAGAAACTTCTATCAAACAAAAAATACATATAAACACTTACTATGTCAGATTGTCCCCGAATATCTTCAAAAAGTTGCTGGTATTTTAGAGCCGGTGTTTTGCCCTTAGATAAAATAAGCTTTTTCAATGCTTCAGCTAATTCTTCTTTCCGTTTACGAGAGGTGGCACTCATCCCTGATTTAAAAAGAAATCAATGAAAACATTTTTGCTATTATGAAATGAAATGTTTCAAATTCTCAAAAATATTCCTTTAGTAGTATCATCTAGAAAGGTAAGGGGACAGGGGCTGAGTACATTTGAAGGGAATGAGTTTTGAATTATTTGGAATTTTCTGTAAGCCACTAGCTGTCGCTTTCCGTGGAAACAGTATACACATCTGTGCAGCAAGCAGCTGCTGCTAAGAAACAAACAACTTCTCTAACAAAACTTCCCAGACCGTCGAAGAGACAGAATCTCCTTAAAACTATATCAAGATAAGATTAAAGGGCAACTTTCATCAGACTCTCAAAGGGGTCCCAATCCAAAAAAGGTTAAGAACTTCTGTTTCAAATGATTTAACTGTTAGCTTAAATCTGACATATGAACTACATACATATTGAAATAATTTTCAAAAGCTTTTCTGCTCCCTGAAAATAACGAACCTGTAGTAAGAATAGATATGTCCACGATGCCAGTCCGGGGATCAGTTGCAGACTGCTTTAGAGCTTCCCGATGGAGGCGTTTGGCTTCTTCCACATCAATGGCTTCAACTTTGTTAGACAATCTTACTTTAGCATGGGCTTCTGCTAAGCGGATTAATGACTCTAGCTGTCGAGGATATGCAGAAACCATTCCCCGGCTACTGCCAATCTTCCTCATGTCTACATAAGCCTATTGTAGGTAGAAAAACAAAAACAAACCTCCTTGGTGACAACAACTTTAGTTTTGTGGTTGAATTTTGAACACTTAGGCTTCCATTAAGTAAATGGAACTCAGATATGGTCCTGGGCCCTGGAGCTCATCAAGTGGTAGAGGCTACACAGACCACAGAAATCCCAGGTGAAGAAGTCAACGTTCAGCGTGCAGTGGTGGGTGAACATATTCCAACTGGGAGATGCTCAGGAAGAATACTTGGAGAGGGTGGCATCTAACGTAGCTCTGAAGAACAGAGATGGGCATGGCATGGCAGAGGAAAGCAATGTGGCATGTGGGGAAAGGAGCAGGCTGTGACGACTCATAGGGAGAATCAGGGTCTGTCTGTGACAAGTGCTCACATGGGGCACATAAGGACTGCTGGGAAAATGCTGCAAAGGTAAGTTGTATCAATTTCACATACAGATGACACAGTCTTATTTCTTCATGAACAACCCTCAAGACTATGACACACAAAAAAATTACATAATGTCTGTAACTTTCATCTTAGCATTTTTGGGAGCTCAGTTAGGATGTAAAGCTCATCAAAGCACCAGGAACTTTCTTAATATCACAATGCTCAAATAACCTAAATGTGCCATTGTGCACTTCAGTTCATGTACAAGGATGCTGAAAAACGAACCTAAAAGACTGCTCAATCTGTTTTTTACAAGCAAAAGGAAGCTTACAGAAACTGGATGACTTTTTCAGTTTCCAAATTACTATGCAGTATTGCCTCTATTTGAAACCAGGTCTTTGATCTTAAATTCACTATGCTTGTAAGTATTTAAACACATAAAGTGTGTGTACTACCTACATAAATGAACTATTTCCCCCTTTTGCAACATTTGGTAAAGTCAATTCTGTAATATGGGAGGAAACAATAAACAGTTATAAAAAATAGTATGTTATTCTTAGGCCAGGCATGGTGGCTCATGCCTGTAATCCTAACACTTTGGGAGGCAGAGGCTGGCGCATCACTTGAGGTCAGGAATTCAAGACCAGCCTGGCCAACATGGTGAAACTCCGTCTCTACTAAAAATACAAAAATTAGCCGGGAGTGGTGGTGGGCACCTGTAATCCTAGCTAGTAGGGAGGCTGAGGCAGGAGAATCGCTTGAACCCGGAAGCACAGGCCGTAGGCTGCAGTAAGCCAAGATCACGCTACTGCACTCCAGCCTGGGCAACAGAGTCAGGCTCCATCTCAAAAAAAGGAAGAAAACAGTATGTTATTCTTAACAAAATAATTAATATTTTAAAGGAGATGATTGGTCGATTACATTAATGCTGTGGGCTACAGGCACAGTAAGCCTTTTTTCAGCAGGGTTACCTCGATGAGAGCCTGGCTGGCTTCCTCACTTAGCCGCGGCATGATGGTGCTGTGTGCATAGGCAATGTAGTCCTTCAGCACCGCCATGTCCAGGAGCTCCTCCTCTGCCTGCTCCTCACTCTGGTAGTACAGTGAGACCAGGTGGTGAGCCAGACGCCTGTCATAGGCTTCGTCCTGAGGGTCCAGCATGAGGAAGATCAAATCAAACCTAAGAAAACAAAGTAAAAATACTGTTTTTCCAGTATCTTGTGAGACCGAGGTGGGTGGATCACCTGAGGTTGGTAGCTTGAGACCAGCTTGGACAACACGGCGAAACCTTGTCTCTACTAAAAATACAAAAATTAGCCAGGAGGGGTGGCGCGTGCCTGTAATCCCAGCTACTCGGGAGGCTGAGGCAGGACAATTGCTTGAACCTGGGAGGCGAAGGCTGCGGTGAGCCAAGTTCGCGCCACTGCACTCCAGCCTGGCCAACAGAGGGAGACTCTGTCTCAAAAAAACAAAACAACAACAACAAAAAACTGTTTTCCTAGTTGAGACACCAATACACCTACAAACGACATACTAAAGACTGCTCAAGCACCACAGATGTGCAGTGAATGTGCATCCTGTGAGCACCCGCAGGGAGAAGCATCTTTGCCTGGCGTGGAAAGGGCCTTTGTGTCCATCCATTCACCTCACTCACCCTGTGCTGTCCCTAGCCCTTAGGTCAGCCCAGGGAACGGCTGGGGACCAATCAGCTGAGTCAAAGGAAGACTTCCCTTAGGGGAAGGTTTCTATGATTTTGACGATGGAAAGTTGTTGGGGTTTTTTTTTTTTTTTGAGACAGTCTCACTCTATAGCCCAAGCTAGAGTGAAGTGGTATGATTTCAGCTCACTGCAATCTCCACTCCCATTGGCTCATTTCTTGTGCCTCCTCAGCCTCCTGAGCAGCTGGGATTACAGGCATGTACCACCACACCTGGCTAATTTTTTGTATTTTAGTAGAGACGGGGTTTCATCAAGTTGCCCAGGGTGGCCTCAAAGCTCAGGCGCTCCAGCCACCTCAGCCTCCCAAAGTGCTGGGATTACAGGTGTGAGTCACTGTACCTGGCTGACAATGGAAAGATTTGAATGAAAACACATTCAACTGTTTTTTGGGGAAAAAAACTTTTGTAAAAAAAAAAAAAAAAAAAAAAAAAAAAAAAAAAAAAAAAGCAAGTAATTAAAACCTAAAATCCATTTATGAAAAATGTCCAATATTTGTAGTGGGGCTGAGAGTGAAGATTATGTGATTGCACTTTAATAAATCTAACTTTTCAGAGCCTCATCTACGGTACAGAGTTGTTCTCTGTTGACTCTCAGCAGTGGCTTTAGGACTAAGGGTAGTGAGTGACAGCCATGTGAAAATGGCGTGGGAGGGAAACATCCCAACTGCTTCAAAATCAAATGAAAACACGCATCATCCTTGTCGTGAAAACTCTTGACCAACCAAATTTGAAACATCTTGGTAAGAGTGAAGAGTTTCCATTAGCAGTTGCTGAATCTTAGTAGCTCCTTTTCAATCTCACCCTGAATATTCTACAAATGAACAAAATAAAAATCTGTTTTAATACCTTGATAATAAAGTATGAGGCAGCTGGATGTTTTCAATGGTTGTTTTTTTAGGATTCCACTGAGACTCAATGGGATTTGCTGCTGCCAGGACAGAGGTGCGTGCATTGAGCTGACAGATGATCCCAGCCTATCAGAGAAAACAGTGCGGTTAGAAGCCTCTCCCTGACGCTGGCAATTAACAAGTACCATCTTTGCCCGGCCACCTACTAAACCCATATTCCCTCTACAGCATTTCTATTGCCTGAGCCATGTTGCCTTTACTGACTTCAGCAGTTCACCTGGATAAGCCTTGTCCTCAGATTCATGACAAGGACTGAGTTTAGATGAATGCGTGCTATAACCACGTCTTTCTCAGGAAGCAGGCACCTTGCAAGAGCTTTAGGACAAATTCAAGGCTAGTACAGCAATAAAGACAAAACATGATATCCTGTTGAAGATATGTAGAGATTTAGCTGAAATATGATGTGAAAAGCACATATCAATCTCCCCAAGTTAGAACCAAGGTAGCACAGCACAGTTCCACATACGCTGTCTTTCAAGGGTCCACGTATTTTAAACATGTCCACATTCACAGTGGAGAAGGCAACTCACCTTTGCAATGGACAGAGTCTGCTGTTCCATGACTTCATGCAATACCGATCTTGTACTTTCATTCATCTTGTCGAACTCATCGATACAGCAGATGCCGTTGTCACTGAGGACAAGGGCACCTGTCTGCAGGACCAGCTGCCTTGTCTCAGGGTCTTTCATTACGTACGCAGTAAGGCCAACTGCACTGGAGCCCTTCCCAGAAGTGTACTGGCCCCTGGGGACGAGGTTGTACACGTACTGCAGCAGCTGGGACTTGCTGGTACCAGGGTCACCACACAGCAAGATGTTGATCTCAGCCCGAAATTTGCCCCTTCCAGTGTGACTAAAATCCTTCCTTGTCCCGCCAAAGAGCTGAAGCAAAATTCCCTAAATAATCAAACAGAGACATGTCTAAACATTCATTTTCTGCACAGTAACTGAGATGTAGTTTAAACTTTAGAGGTACTTTTCTCTCTTATAAAGAACTACAATTCGGAAATCGCAGGAAGGTATAAAAAGGCTCCTGAAAGTGCTTGATATGCTCTAAGTTATCACTGACCAATTTATTCATCAGCACCCATCATTATGCCAGAATGATGGCCATGCAAGTCCCTCTCCCTATTCTGATACTGTGTGGCCTCTTCTGTTTAGAAACTTAAGTTTAGAGCAGAGATGAGGATAGACAATGCTATGACTCTCCTCAACCAATGGCAAGTCCGGTTGCCAGCACTTGCTCTAACAGGCCACAGCTTGCATCCTTTATGGCAAATGGCTTAAGTGGCGGAGTGGATGTTTATACTATTTGATTCTAAAGAACTGTAAATCCCAACCCCTAGTTTAAAATCCACTGTTACCTTCTTTATATCTTCATGTTCATAAATGCTTGGAGCCAAGGCTGAAGCAAGCCTCTCATAAATGTCTGGTTTCCTGGAAAGTTCCTTAAGCAATTCCACACGTTTCTCTGAAAAAAGTTTCTGTTCTGCTTCTTCATCAAGGCCATGCAGACGTTTTGCATCCGTTTTCCGATAATGAATGACATCAATGTGGGTTTTGTAGACAGACTTCACATTACTCACTCTTGGATTGATTCGAATAGGCACTGCTCGATAGATGCCTGAGGGCACAACCAGGAGATGCACTTTTACCTTCCCATATCTTCCTCCGAGTGGCTCAGCAACCAGCGTAGGCAACAGGTGCACTTCAGAGCGAGGCACCACACTGGGCTGGCCCTGGAAAGGTGAGCTCCACCATCTCTTAAATGACCCTCCCAAGCCCAGGACTCAGACCCACATTGCAAAGCTCCCGCCTACTGAGCAAGCGGGGAAACAGCAGCAGGAAACGGACAAGCTCGAAAGAACCCAGGTGGCTCATGTCTGTATTCCTAGAACTTTGGGAGACTGAGGCAGGCGGATCACCTGAGGTCAGGAGCTCGAGACCACCCTAATCAACATGGAGAACCCTGTCTCTATTAAAAATATAAAAATTAGCCAGGCGTGGTGGCACATGCCTTTAATCCCAGCTACTAAGGAGGCTGATGCAGGAGAATGGCTTGAACCTAGGAGGTGGAGGTTGCGGTGAGCCAAGATCCTGCCATTGGACTCCAGCCTGGGCAACAAGAGCGAAACTCTTCTCTCAAAAACAAAACAAAAAGAGAAAGAATCAAGGTTTCTGTAAATGACAGAGCCGAGGACGTGTTCACCTGGGCCCACTAGTCAGCAGTGCTCCAGGGCAACTGTAGCTACATGAGCACCTCCACAGGCATAGTCACCCTGAGGGTGAAATGGAGCTGCTGTGCTTCTGGCTCAATGCTGGGTTCGTGGTTGTATTTAATAAGCAGTATTTTTACTTCCCTAAGTTGAGTGTACAGAATCTGCTTAGCACTTACTTGACTTCAACAAAATGCTAAAATCCTCCAGCCATTAAAACTAGACTAGGTCCCACCCCCCGCCCACCACCCCTGACAAAAGCATGCAAATCATGCATTCTTCTGGAAGGCAGGCTCCCCACATACAGAAGTCTGATCTGATATTCGTCTTTTCTGGATTTCAAACCAGAAGCCTTTAATTCTAGGCTGATTCCTGCAGCTTTTGGAGAAAGTCCGGCCTTTCCCCCTTACAGCTATCTCAACACAATGGCACAGAGTCTTGCTCATTTAGTGGGTTGGTGTAATTCTTATTTAACACAACAAACCAGTTTACATGCATTCTTAGAATACACACTATTCTTCACTCCAATATAGGCTAGGGATGGACGACTATGTTTAAAGTGGCCCATGATGATTTATCTCACAGAGCAGCATTGATACTTATTTCATATCTACACAGCACTTTTCACAGCCCCTAGGCCCCAAATACTCTCACACATGTATCATCACATTAACTCCACTTTGTAGGTGAGGAAACTAAAATATTGGATTAAATACTTTATCAAAGGTTTCAGGGTAGCAGGACTGGAAATATGCACGTCACTCACTAAAGACTACGCATTATTTTAATTCTCAATGACTACAAGTACTTTTACAACAGAAGACTGCCAGTGACAACTGCAGGACTTCACACTGGGGAAGAAACAGGGTGAGCACTGCCTCACTGAAGACAAAGGCCGATGCGTGGTGTGCCCCAGGCTCTCCGCTCAGGAGCAGATTCAGGCACTCTGTGACCGTTGCCACCTTGCCCATCAATGAAGAACTGTGCTGCCATCAACACTCCCTTGCCGCCAACCAAAATCTATTGTGACTCTACAGATTCAAAAGGAAGACTGCCACACTCATGTGGTGCTGTGCAAAGAACACTCTCGTGGCAGCAAGAGAAGGAGTCCTGGGTCCTGATTTACCGTGGCATCTGAGCTACTGCTGTCTATGCATCCCTGAACCTCAGCTTCTATACATGGAAACAAGTCACTCTGACTCATTCTTCTCTGTAACAAACAAATGTTAACCCCTGGCTACACATTTGGGAAATAAGTAAAAATTACTTACAACTCCAGCATTGATAATACTTAGCTAATGGCATAACTCAAACTCTACCCATACCAGCCTATCTGAGGCTGCTGTCTCATGATGCCAACAGTACTGACTTGAGACACACATAGTTCCAGGATACTGAGATATCAAGAGGCGAGTGACCGCACAAACCATGAGTTCCAACATTCAAATTTGAGAAGAACTGAACAATTTCATGACGCTGGGCAGTGGTACTCAGTTAAAAAGGTGGCAGATAAACTGGGGATATACCCCACAGTCTCAAAGACATGCAGTGACAACTGCAGGCAGAACTGGACCTGTGACTGAGTCCAATGACTCACTAAAGCACAGCATTGAAAACAAGACAGACATGCTAAAGTGCTGGTGCAAACCTACACTCTTACCTGTAACATTCACTCTGTCCCCAGGCTGAACCTTGTCAACCAGATCATTGTGAGCAAATAGGATGACTGTATGTGGTGTCTGCCCTGCAGGCATGTCTTCTGGAGACTCTTGAAGCTTGATCTGAAGGGCAGCAAACAGAGAACATGTGGGCCATAAAGAGAGTGCAGGAGGACAAAAATCTGCATGTCTTTGTACTGCTTTCGCCATGTAAGGCTGCAGTGCATATCCCCGCATAAATGTTTGTCCATGTTTCTCATTAATGCTTTAGAAGTTACTTCTAGATCTCCTGGGTAGAGCAGCATACATTTTTTTTTTTTTTTGAGATGGGGTTTCACTTATTGCCCAGGCTGGAGTGCAATGGTGCGATCTCAGCTCACCGCAACCTCCACCTCCCAGGTTCAAGTGATTCTCCTGCCTCAGCCTCCCGAGTAGCTGGGATTACAAGCGCATGCCACTATGCCCGGCTGCAACACACATTCTTAAGGCCCACTGTCGGGCATGCCTGCGCACCTCACAACCCTGCCTGCATCCACTCATCTAACAGGTATCTGTGGCGCACCCAGCTTGTGCTACAGCCCATCCTAGGTGTCAGGGACCCGAGAGTGAACAATGTTCCCTGCCTCATGGAGTGGAAGGGGCAGATAATATACAGAAAAATGAGCACATAACATGTGACAGTGACAAATGCAGCAGACAGCAACAAAACAGGGGAAGGAATGTAGGGAGCTGCGGTGGGGGAAGCTGAGATGCTTTTCATAAAGCAGGGTCGAGGAAGGCCTTTCCAAACCAGGTACCCTCTGAGAGGCCTAAGGCTGCTGGGCTTTTCTCTAAGCCACTTTGGGGGCCTGCAGGATTCTGAGAATAGGAGGCCATATGTTCCTGGGGAACTAGGTGCCTGCCTTTCTGTCTCCAGCTCTGTCTCATGCAACATTAAAGAAACCATGCACACACTGTCACAGAAAAACTCAAATTCTGTCCTCCCACATCTTTACAGTTACAATCACAGTAAATAAGCAATTTTCTACCTTCCCCTCACTTATTTCTGTCATTTTAGTAACTTCATCTTACAATTTCACGAATAGAGAGAAAAAAGGGCAAACTTTTTTTTTCTTTTTGAGACAGTCTCACTGTTGCCCAGGCTGGAGTGCAGTGGTGCAATCTCAGCTCACGGCAAGCTCTGCCTCCTGGGTTCCTGCCATTCTCCTGCCTCAGCCTCCCGAGTAGCTGAGACTACAGGCGCCCGCCACCATGCCTGGCTAATTTTTTTGTATTTTTTTTTTTTTTAGTAGTGACAGGGTTTCACCGTTAGCCAGGATGGTCTCGATCTCCTGACCTTGTGATCCGCCCGCCTCGGCCACCCAAAGTGCTGGGATTACAGGCGTGAGCCACCAAGCCCAGCCGAAAAAGACCAAACTTCTTAGACAATAAAATTTGTGAAAAAATTTCAGAAAAATTCCTCCATCCTTTACCAATGGAAAAACCACAGAACGACATTTAACTAAGTATTCTCATCTCAAATGTTTGAAGCATTTTAGGCCATGAAAATATGACGTCTCTAACAACAGACAGTACTACTGGCAACCGCACAGGGACAGTGCCCTGAAGCAGGGCCTTTGTGTGCTCTGCGTATTTAGCCCATAGGCCACTAATGAAACCCACAAGACCAGAGAGGGATGGATGCCATTCGGGAAGTGAGGCTCAGGGTCCGAGGGACAAGTTATAGTCGGCTTTTGAGGATACAGACAGGCAAAGCATAGCCTGGGGGGCCAGGGTGGCTGCGCACCATCTGCTTGTCAGAGAAGAGGGAGCGGTTGTGGATGAGTGCCATGCTGTGGGTGGTGTGGCAGCGCCCGCACACGCTGGGCTCCGCAATGCGGCCGCGGTCCATCTCCACCCGGGTCGTGTGGGCACACACTTGGCATTGGAAGAAGGCCTCCTGCATCTCGGGAATCAGCTGGGATGTCCTGATCACCATGCCGCTGATGGTGATGAGCTGATCAATGTCTGTGAGGGGAGAAGAGAGGTCAGCACACCTGATCTGAGGTGCAGAGGTCTAGGAATAGCTGGGATCACAGGCAGGTGCTGGGTGCCCACAAGTCTGCCTAGGGTGACCTTTCTGTGTCCAGTCGTCTGCAGGGTATGTCTTCAGGAGATTCTCAAGCCCAGCGAACCTCTGGCCCCTGTCCAGCAGGCATCCCTTGCTCCCTTCTTGTCTGACTACCCTCCTCCCTGCCTCCTGCCTCACTCACCCAGCCTCCTTTATGACACCCTGCTGTATCAGGAAAAAAGCCAGACAGCCTGGACTGAGACCCAACCCTAGCCTCTCTGTGCACATTTTGTGTCCTCTATAGAATGGGGTGGTATCAGGACCTACCCCAGAGCCAAGGACTGAATGTGACAGTGTACTTCAAGACTAGTAAGAGCACCTGGCAGAGGAAAAATTCCTCTATACTTTACAGTCATTACTATCCACATAGAACCCCTTAGATGGTCTGATCTTTCACTCTTGCTTGTTTCCTTTATTATTTGAACCTTTCCTGACAGACAACTTTTCCCCTTTGAAGGTCCCACTGCCCCCAACTAATTTCCCCTGCTGGTTTCAGATGAGCTGCCCTGTTCTGGCCTGTAGTTAGCCACTGCTAGCCATGAAGATCACCCTATCCTGCCACTGATTCATGAGACCTCTACGATTTTGCTGTTGTTGAGATGGGGTTTTAACCTGTTGCCCAGGCTGGAGTACAGTGGTGCAATTACGGCTCACCGTAGCTTCAAGCTGCCAGGCTCAAATAAGCCCATCACCTCAGCCTCCCAAAGTGGTAGGATTACATGCATGAGCCACTGTGCCTTGCTAATTTCTTCTTGGAGTCTCTTAAGTCACCCAAGTTGGTCTCAAACTCCTGGCCTCAAGTGATCCTCAAGTCTTTAAAATCTATTTTTTTTTTCTTTTTTTGAGACAGAGTTTCATTCTGTCACCCAGGCTGGAGTGCAATGGCACAACCTCGGCTCAGTGCAACCTCTGCCTCCCGGGTTCAAGTGATTCTCCTGCCTCAACCTCCCAAGAGTAGCTGGGACTATAGGCGTGTGCCACCATGCCCTGGTAATTTTTGTATTTTTAGTAAAGGGGTTTTGTCACGTTGGCCAGACTGGTCTGGAACTCTTGACCTCAGGTGATCTGCCTGCCTTGTTCTCCTGAAGTGCTGGGATTATAGGCGTGAGCCACCACGCCCAGCCAATAGTCAATCTCTTATATCAGAAACTTCAATTAAATTCAAAAAGTATATGGGGTTCACAAGTATACAGGATAACTGAATCTGTATTATTTTGACAATTTATAATCCATCACCTTGACTACCACCACCAATTACTTCTTTCATAGTTTCCTGATGAAACAAGGCTATTTTCATGTAAGGCATTTTCCTTCAACAAAAGTAATCCTATGAAAAATACATTACCTTCTGGATTCAGGTTTCTCATATTCTTAGTCTTCAATGCGTTGAATGGTCTTACTTGAATCTGATGTTCTAAGATTGAGTCAGGGTAACGGTCAAAGAAAATTTCATTGACAGCCATGTCAAAAGTTGGAATAACTTCCTGTAAAAATAAATATGAAGATGTATTTGTATTCATATCTCAGTGTTAAATACAATAAAGGCACGTCAGATTAGCAAAGTATAAAAACAAGACAACATGTCATGCCCCCAAAGTATTACCCTAAAGAATCATGCACGTGCTGTTTTCAAATTTAGGTATGCTGAACTATCTATCTCCGCATATTCTCAATTGGGTTAAATTTGATAATTTATATAAAAGTGCCTTTTTGATGTATACTGGCATATTTTATGCTTTCTATTAGAAGGGAAAAAAATTTTGACCTCACGCTTTCATTATTTTCCTTCTATAATGAAATGATACCAAAGTAAGTTATTTATTTATTTTTATTTTTTGAGGCAGAGTTTTGCTCTTGTTGCCCAGGCTGGAGTGCAATGGTATGATCTCGGCTTGCTGCAACCTCTGCCTCTGGGATTCAAGCAATTCTCCTGCCTCAGCATCCTGAGTAGCTGGGATTACAGGCATGTGCCACTACGCCTGGCTAATTTTGTGTTTTTAATAGAGATGGGGTTTCTCCATGTTGGTCAGGCTGGTCTTGAACTCCCAACCTCAGGTGATCCGCCTGCCTTGGCCTCCCAAAGTGCTGGGATCACAGGTATGAGCCACCGCACCCGGTGACACCAAAGTAAGTTAAATCATATTTATCCAAATTTGTTAACATATGGTTCCCATTTTACAGATGAGGAAACAGCTTTTGGTTGGTTAAGGAACCTGACTAAAGCTATGCAGCCAGTAATCAGCAAAATCAAGATTCAAAAACCAGGTCTGCTTGCCTCAAAGACCACACCCAGAGTCAACAGAGCTGATACTTCATGAATAAAAACTGACCTGAGGCCAAAAAGTTAAAGTCTACAGTACAATAAGTATATTCTTTTAAAGCGGCAGGAAGTATGCAATTCAGTTAAAGTATTTCCATTTAAGATAACTTACTTCATGAAACCCAAGAAGCTATAGTTGTTAGATTCATCATTTTTCTACATGAGAAACACTGCCCAGTAAACCATAACCTGTCATTGATAGTAATACAAATCCCACTTTCAGGAACATTAAAATGTGAAAAAAAAAAAAAAAAAAAAGTTCATCTTAAAGGAGATGATCCTTTTTTTTTTGAGATGGAATTTCACTGTGTTGCCCAGGCTGGAGAGCAGTGGCGTCATCTCGGCTCACTGCACCTCCGCCTCCTCGGTTCAAGTGATTCTTCCGCTTCAGCCTCCCGAGTAGCTAGGACTACATGTGCGCACCACCATATGTGGCTAATTTTTGTATTTTTTAGTAGAGATGGGGTTTCACTTTGTTGGCCAGGCTGGTCTCGAACTCCCGACCTCAAGTGATCCATTTGCCTTAGCATCCTAAAGTGCTTGGATTACAGGTGTGAGCCACCACACCCATCCAAAGGAGATGATACATGGTTTTCTTAGTGTTTGTGCATACTATCTTCATTACCGAGGAATTTGTGTTATCTGGAAACATTCTTTCTGGACAGTTACTAAAATTCATCAAGGTCAAAGCTAAATTCTTACCTGTGGGTAAGAGATGAGTTGTCTGTACAAATTTTTGTCAAATGATTTGATGTGTTCACAGTTTACATTTAAAAATGGCTCACCAATTACATTAATCTACAAGATAAAAATGAACAAGTTATATTTTGCTAACTATTTTAAAACACACAACTTGAATTTAAAGAGTATCTGATTACCTCCCCAAGTCGTTGCATGTATAGAGGTTCGGTAATATCTATGCCAACATTTTCTTCTTCTTTAGCCAGAGGGTCAATAAATCGCTGAAGAAATCTCTTTAAGTGGAGAGAAAACATATCAGGCATATAGCATTTGGGAACAGGCAACTACTAAAAACACACAAAGTTAGGAGTATGTCTCTATCAAGAGACAGAAATAAATATTTTTCTTCCTTTTTCTTTTTTAAGATTTAATTTAGAGATGGAGTCTCACTATATTGGTCAGGCTGCTATCAAACTCCTGGCCTCAAGTGATCCTCCCACCTTGGCCTCCCAAAGTGCTGGGATTATAGGTGTGAGCCACCACAGGTGGCCCTTCTAGTCATTATGGTTACTTCGATATAGGTTATAAGCACGGTCTCCCAACATTTTCAGAGCTCAAAGTAATTTTAATACATATAGCTCACCTGAAAGTTTTCTTTGCATGTTGCCACATTTACATCTGTTCCCCAGATCACAAGTTTTTGGCCTAGAGACTGCTCACTTGCCACTATATCTTCTGCTGCTGCCTACACAGAAAAACATGACAGAACCATGAAAATGGAGTTACCCACATGATATCCGCCATAAGATGGTTTCAGGAGACTGCATACTCACCCCGTCAGACTGCAGATCCACTTGCAGGCCCTTCTGCGCAGAGCCCAAGTCAGGCCTCTGTCTCACAGGTGTGCCCCTAACACCACTTCTTGGGGTTCCCTCTACCCGAGAGCTGGGAGTGCCATATGTCAGTGGTGAACTAACATCAAAGTCAAGAGGGATAGCTATAAAAACAAAATTAGGAAATTCTGGTGGTATATCAAACCTGAAATTACAGCATGTTGTCTGTTGACCTATACCATCTAATCACACAGCAAACTTGAGTATTTATTGCAACCTGTGGTGGTTGAGATTCTGAGCACTATTAAATGTTCTATTAAGAAAAGCATCAAAGAACCTGCTTATTCTGCTCACTAAGCCCTAAAACAATTATTTTCGGCACTCTGTTCAGCTCCTCTGGTTCAGAATATGCTCACTCGTGCAGAGGGGATGCTTTAGGCATTATGACAACTGTAATAAAGACAGTAAACCTGAGCAGATAAAGCATCAGCTGTGTATCAAGCACAGCATAACCTAGATCTTCAGACACGCACCTGAAGAATGCATTTGGGGAGGGCTGGAAAATAACACGTCCTGTGCGACAGGGCTCTGTAGGTCCCCTCCAGGCGAGGTTGGCATCGGCTGCAACTCCCCCGTGGAGGTGGAATCCTCGCCTCTAGGTCTCTGAGAAGGAGATGACCTGGCATCCTCACTTCGAGCTTGTGTCACACAAAACAGAAAAGATGGCCATGAACTTTTAGGGCCGGTATTCCCGGATTTGTCTGTCCCTTGGGGCATTATGACTCACCACTGAACCAAACCAAACAGAGGCAAATGGGCAATCGAATTAAGCAGCACCCAGGCCACAGCCTGCTGTGGGTGTCTGTGCGCACCAGGTGGCAGCGCCCAGCCCGAGGCTGAGCGCCCGGGGCCCGCGCACCCACCCAGCGCTGCCAGTTGCGGCAAGAGAGTGCAGAAAGGGCGGCGCCGGGGGCTGTGGTGGGCCCGGCTCGGGGGACTCACACGTCTGGGCTGGGGTGGTTCTTCCACGCCGGCTGCCGCGGCGGCTCGGGGTCGACGCCGGGGACGACATGGTGCTCGGGGTACCTGCGCGACAAGGACAAGCTCGGGCCGGGCCTGCCTCCCGGCTTCCCTGCCCTGCTCCGCAGCGCGGACGATCCAGCCGGCTCCGCGCCACGCCCTCCCTGCCGACGCGCGGTTACCGGGGAAAGGCGGCCGCTTGCGGACGCTCGCAGGCTCCAGGTCCACCTGGCCAGTCGCGCTCCCAAACCACGGGACCCAGAGTTCCCGCCGGCGGCAAGGTCGTCTCCGCCCCTGGCGGGGCCTCACCAATCACAGCGACGCTCGTGCATGGCTCCGCCTCCGGGACGCGCCACTGCGCACCAGTAGGGGGGGACAGTGCTACTTCCTTCAGCACCCGCGCGCAAGCCAGAAGTAGGCCTCGCTCGGCACCCCTCTGTCTAGATAGTCTGACCTCCTGCTGGGCCGCGTTTTCGCGGGAAAAGTGGGTCTGACCGCACCAGTTCTCGGGGTGTGTTCCGTTAGCGTTGGCTAAGGAGCATGTGCTTCTTTATCCCTTAGGCGTTTTTGATTAATAAGGACATTAGAGATGCATTTGCCACTTAAAAATTTTTTTTATTAAAAAAATTAAGGACGGGAGGTGGCGGGGATGGTCTTATGTTGCCCCGGCAGGTCTCGAACTCCTGCAATCCTCCCGCCTCAGCTTCCTAAAGTGTTGGGACTGCAGGCGGGCGCCACCGCGCCCGACCGCGTTTGTCACTTTTTATCGAGGAACAAACTTGGAACTCTTGACCCAGGCCCTTCGCTTGTTTTATTTGCCTCTGATATCTATTTAGCCAAGTCCAACACCAAGTAGCCACCCAATCTACTTCCGCAGGTCAGACCGACGGATGGCGTTTCTCCTTAAGTTTCCATTTTGATTAGGGCCAAAGAGCCGAGCCTACAGGCCAGGCTTTCCCGCAGGGGTCCCCGGGAAAGTTCCTGCCGCCGCGCCCCGTAGCCCCGCCCCGGCGCGTAGGAGCATTTCCGGGTCCGGGCTGAGCGGGCGCACGCGCGGGAGTGGGACTCGGCGGCATGGCGGGCTCCGGAGCCGGTGTGCGTTGCTCCCTGCTGCGGCTGCAGGAGACCTTGTCCGCCGCGGACCGCTGCGGTGCTGCCCTGGCCGGTCATCAGCTGATCCGCGGCCTGGGGCAGGAATGCGTCCTGAGCAGCAGCCCCGCGGTTCTGGGTGGGTACCGGCCCGAGCTGGGCCGCGGGTGGGTCCTGGCTTCCCGAGTCGTTCTGGAGCCGGGCAGCCCGGCGCTTCTCTCTGTGTTTAGATGACGGTATTTTGAAGTACAGCGATTAGATTCTTCGGGGGGAATTTCTGTGCGTGTGTATAAAGTGATTTTTCATACTGCTTTTTACTCCCTAGTATTAGAAGAAAGATATTTTAAAGCCAAAGTTGGTGAAAACGACCCCTAATTTGGCAATCCTTGCTATACAGAGTGGGGGGGGAGGGCAAGAGAAATAATTTTTTTTTTTTTTTTTTTGAGACGGCATCTGGCTCTGTCGCCCAGGCGGGAGTGCAGTGGCGCGATCTCGGCTGACTGCAACCCCCGCCTCCTGGGTTCAAGCTATTCTCCTGCCTCAGCCCCCCGAGTAGCTGGGATTACAGGCGCGCGCCACCACACCGGGCTAATTTTTTTGTGTTTTTAGTAGAGATGGGGTTTCACCGTGTTGGTCAGGCTGGTCTCGAACTCCTAACCTCATGATCCGCCCGCCTCGGCCTCCCAAATGCTGGGATTACAGACATGAGCCACTGGGGCCGGCCAAGAGAAAGTATTTTCTTTCACCTGAATCTCGCCTAATCCCACCAGTACCTTTTCGAAACCCCTATATTTACTGTTCCTACCTTGAGAAAAATTGAAGAAATACAATTGAAGTCATGTTCTTTTAACTCTTTAGCAATGCCTGGGTGCGAACTTTTTCCTCTCTGTGGTAAAAGTGCCTCTTTTTAGCACTTTAAATAATCGAATATTTCGTTGTGTAGAAACTCCCGTATTCCTTCTTTAAAACACGAGTGTGCAGACCTCTTGATGTTGTGCCCTATTAAAAGGTGAGATTTTCTTCCGGAGGGTCTAGGAGTGAATATGTTATAGGAATAACTTAAAACAGTTTAAACAAGATGTTGTATGTGGCACGGTGCAGTGGCTTATGCCTGTAATCCCAGCACTTTGGGAGGCTGTGGCAGGTGGATCACCTGAGGTCAGGAGTTCCAGACCAACCTGACCAGTATGGTGAAACCTTGTCTCTACTAAAAATACAAAAATTAGCTGGGCATGGTGGCGAGCGCCTATAGTCTCAGCTATTCGGGAGGCTGAGAGAGGAGAATGGCTTGAACCCAGGAGAGGGAGGTTGCAGTGAGCTGAGATTGTGCCACTGCACTCCAGACTGGGCAATGAAGCAAGACTCCGTCTCAAAAAAAAAAAAAAAAAAGATGCTATATACATGAATTCTATATATTCTATTTGTTGTCAAGAATATGTTAACAATGGGGAAATATCAGACAAAAAACTAACATTGTGTGGTTACTTTCTCTTCTTAGGGTTTCAAATTTAGCATTCATTTTTGTTTGTTTAGTAACTTGTGTCTAAAGCACTTACAAGTTTACCTTACATTCATGACATACCTCCTTTCACTTGAGAGATTCCAGGGGAAGTGTATTAGTTCCTTATTGCTGCTGTAACAATTATCACAAGCTTAGTAATTTAAAACAGCACAGGTCTGTTACTCTTACAGTTCCCACTGTAAGGGGGATTCTGTGAGTCAGAATCCCACACAGGTCTCACCAAGCTAGAACCAAAGCACCACGCAGGGCTGCTTTCTTTCTGAAGGCTCTTGGGGAGGATCCATTGCCTTATTCATTCAGGTTATAGGATTGAGGTCCCTGACATTCCATACTTCTTGAAACTGTCCCCTTTCCTTGGATCACAGCTCCCTTCCCTTGGTCTTCAAGGCCAGCAACAGCATGTCAAGCAGAGGTTTGGAATCTCCTGCTTTCCCAACTTCCTGTCTCTCTGATCAACTCTTCTTCATCTCCTTACTTTAAAGGCCTGTATGATTACATTGGGCTCTCTGGATAATCCAGTATGATCTTCCCATTTTAAGGTCAGCTGATTAGCTACCTTAATTCCATCTGCAAGCTCAGTTTCTTTTTGCTATATACATTTTACATATTCACAAGATGTGACCCCAGGGATTGGGATGCAGGCATCTTTGGGGCCATTATTCTGCCTACTGCTTCCCTGTAGAACATTGTCTAGAATTTTCTGCTTTTTTTGTTTTAATATAGCAACCTTGGGTTAGTGTTTTATATTTATAAGGCTGCCTTGAAAACCATTCCATCCTTGGCCAGGCGCGGTGGCTCACACCTGTAATCCCAGCATTTTGGGAGGCCTAGGTGGGTGGATCACGAGGTCGGGAGATTGAGACCATCCTCGCTAACATAGTGAAACCCTGTCTCTACTAAAAATACAAAAAAATTAGCCAGAGTGGCGGGCACCTTTAGTCCCAGCTACTCAGGAGGCTAAGGCAGGAGAATGGCGTGAACCTGGGAGGCGGAGCTTGCAGTGAGCCAGAGTCACTGCACTCCAGCCTGGGCAACAGAGTGAGACTCGGTCTCAAAAAAAAGTGGTAATAAAAGAAAGAATCATTGCAACCCTTTTAGGAGTGATTTACATGATGCTCTTGGCACTCTCTTAACTTGCTTACTTATTTTTTTGAACAGCATTACAGACATCTTTAGTTTTTTCCAGAGATTTCGGTTTGCTTGTATTTGTCCGGAAGTCACTCAACAGTATTGAAGTAAGTTGACAATTTTCATTTTGCTTTTCTTGTATATTCCTGGAGTGACTCCTGTTACCCATATTTACAATATGTATCTCTTTCATTACAGTTTCGTGAATGTAGAGAAGAAATCCTAAAGTTTTTATGTATTTTCTTAGAAAAAATGGGCCAGAAGATCGCGCCTTACTGTGTTGAAATTAAGGTAAGAATTAAAAAAACATACCTTATTACATTATATATCAACATCTGTTTTAACTTATGGTGTAAGGAACTTGGATTTTTATTTTAAAGATAAAACATTTTCTTTTCTTATTGGGGAATTTGCTTATTTCTGCTTCATTGTGTTACAAATGAAGTGGGCTCTTCATTAGTTTTTTTTTTTTTTTTTTTGAGATGGAGTTTTGCTCTTGTTGCCCATTAGTTATTTAGATTTAGTAAGCTAAGGCCTTTGTCAGAGAAACTACTTTGATAATTCCTTTCCTGAGGAGGTGGCAGTAGCACCTTGGGCTCCCTGGGGCCCTGACGGCTTCTTGATAACTTCACTGCAGCCGGGGCGACAAGAGCGAAATTCCATTTCAAAAAAATAATAATTTGTATTTGTATTTTTATTGTTTATTTATTTTTATTTTGTGAGACAGGGTTTTGCTCTGTCATCCAGGCTGGAGTGCAGTGGTGTGATCATGGCTCACTGCATCCTCCATCTCGTGGTCTCAGGTGATTCTCATACCTCAGCCTCCCAAGTTGCTGGGACCACAGGCATGTGCTACTATGCCCAGCTAATTTTTGTGGTTTTTTTTTTTTTTTTTTGTAGAGACAGGGTTTTGCCTTGTTGCCCAGGCTGGTCTCAAACTCCTGGGCTCAAGTGATCTTTCCGTCTCCACCTTCCAAATTGCTTACAGGCATGAACCACACTGTAATCCCCAAAGGGATTGCAGACACCAACCACGGAGTCTGGTGAATACTTTTTTCTTTTTTTGAGACGGAGTCTTGATCTGTCACCCAGGCTGAAGTGCAGTGGCACAATCTTGGCTCGCTGCCACCTCTGTCTCCCGAGTTCAAGCGATTCTCCTCCCTCAGCCTCCTGAGTAGCTGGGATTACAGGCGTGTGCCACCATGCCCGGCTAATTTTTATGTTTTTAGTAGAGACGGTTTCACCATGCTGGCCAGGCTGGTCTCGAACTCCTGACCTCAGGTGATCGCCTACCTCAGCCTCCCAAAGTTTTGGGATTATAGGCATGAGCCACCGCGCCCAGCCTAATGTTATATTTTCCACAGCTAAATACTGAATTTTGATATTGCTCCTCTTAAGAGACGTAGTTTCAGATATTGCTGAGTCTCAGTTTTTATATCTTATTGATGATTTTGGTTATTTTTTTTTTAAACCTAGAATACTTGTACCAGTGTTTATACAAAAGATA